CTTTGATTAATTACACATTTGTAGCATGGAGAGTGCTAAGGATGTGACGCTTGCTCCTAGTCTTGCTTTAAGGATTGGGTCGCTTCACATTTACATAAACTGTCTGCCTAGTTTACAGTCTGTATATTTAGTGACTTTAAATACTTCTGGACAGAAATGTTGGTGCTATAAAACATGTGTGGGATCATGGTTCAGCTGAGCTGTGTTACATTATGGTTTTGACCTCATAATGGTAACCTCAAGTGAAGTCAGGTAGACACACAAGAATTCATTTGCAGGAACATGGACATTAAGAATGTCTCTTAGATTTTAGGGTAGATTGAGATTGGACATCAGGAAGGAATTCTTCCTAGAGAAGATAGGGAGGCACGGGGACAGGTTGCCCAGAGAAGCTGTAGATACCCCATCACTGGAAGTGTCCAAGGCCAGGCTGGATGAGGCTTGGAGCAAGTGATTATAGGGACAAAATAGAATTATTTCTCTTGTCTTTTTTCACTCCAGCCAGCATAAATGTGTGCTGGACTGCAGGTTGTGTCCTTTAGGATTCAAGAGACCTTTTTTAATCTGGATAAAAATTTCCAAGAAATTGCTTTCACTGATTACTTCTTCATCTTTACAATTTATAAGCTAAGAGAATTTTTTAAGTGTCTTAATCTTACAGGCTAATCAGCGGTGGAGGGAATTACAGTGTTCTGGCTCTGCACTTTGCATTTACATGCCTTTTGAAAAGGTGTGTGTTTGCATGACGTCAGAGGAATCTTAAGCCTGGATTGTTGGATGGGTCATTTGCAGTGTCCTATCTGTAAAACTGTCCGTATTTGGTAAGAGTATGTATGACTAATAAATTGAAACCTTTGGTTATGAGGCATGTTTGGTTTATTTTTTGGTATGTTTTGTGTCCAGCCTAACACTGACAACAATAGATGTGCCTTTGGATGCTTATTGTAAGGCAAAAACTTGCCAAATATTTCGATACGGTGTTAATTTAGCATCATTTCAACTATAATGACTTTGAAGTTTATTTGATTTTATAGTATAAGCCAGCATCCAATGTCTCAAATTATTTTTAGAATAGAAGAACAAGCAAACAGCTTGTGTTAGAGCAAAAGTAGTGTTTAATATGCTTGCATTTAGCTATTTGAAAATAGTCTTTGTGCGCTTGTGTTGTATGGCATTGGTCCAATCACTGTTGCATCTCTTGGGTATGTAACCTCAATAGTTGCCTTGGCTCAGCATGGAGGTAACAGAGGCTTTGAGGGAGTAAAACTGGGTGGGAACCTTTTTGGGCGTTGCTTTTTGCTGAATACAAGAGCATCTGTTGAATTCTGGATCAGACATGCTGAAATCCAGCAACAGGAGAGCAGGATAAAGTAAATTAGAGGAGTCTAGCTGGGAAAATGAGGAGGAATTTCATCTTGCATTTTTAAGTGTGTGGCTGTATTAAGCTTACTCCTTTTTTATTATGTTTTATCCTTTCAGCACAGGGGGCTGGTATTTTGCTTGTAGTGGCCATTTAATTGAACACAGTCACTGCACCAGTTTTAACACAAGATGGCAAACTGCAGCCAGGGTCCAGATAAACTTGTGCTGTATTTTTATGACAGGGAAACTTGCATTCAATTCAAGAAAACTGATTTGAGGCAGTGTACACAGGTGAATTCTGACTTGTAATATGCAGTTGTGAACTTTAGAAACCTTGTAACACTAAAGGTCTTCAAACTTATTTTTCCTGGCATTTATTCCACCATAGTGTACTGGTGAAACTTGCTTCTCTTCCCTTACATGCTGTTTTTAGCACGATTAAATTTGGTCACCGTAGCTCATGCTGTTAGGTGTGATGAGAATGTTGTCCTCATGGATGGAGTTATACAAGGGATAAAACACTTGGAAACAACTAAATATAGTCATTCTCTACTCTGACTTTTAAAAATGCTATCTGGGCTCATGGGTCAGTGGGTAAAACCTTGCGCTGGTCCTGTAGTTCTTACTTGGCCAAGAAGCGGACAACTTCAACATCTGTCTGCAGTTATTTATACAATTAAGTTGTCTTGAAATCTGTAGCTTACAAATAAGTGCTTGTGAGAGAACAACAGGTGATGTGTAGGCCTTGGAGCTGTAAAGCTGAAAGTTACGTTGTATTAGGACGTAAAAATGAGGTGGTCACTCCAGCAGACGAAGCCGGTGGGTTTTATTATGGGTTTTTAGGTAAAAGTAGGGTTAACCTTTTGATTTTTCTTATAGGCCTTATTCAGCTTCCGCATAATTTTCCTCACATGGGATATCTAAAAGAAATACCATTTACTAGACTGCCACTAAAAAAACCCAAAAGCACTATTTTCCACTGCAGTGTGTTTCCTTGTGTATGAGGTGTCTCTTCTTGTGTCCCCCTAGAGTGATGAAGAAGAGGGAATAGCCTTTCGCTCTGTCATTGGAGGCTGCTGTTCTGAAGTTCTGGCAGAAATATTTCCTCCTTTTGACAACTGGTATGGGCAGAAGTGACAGTTTTGTTTGACAGTGTTTTAGCTGCAGTGCTTGGATGCAGGGCTGAGAGATAGGATGGTGCTGAACACTGCGATACTGCTGCATCCAGTTGTGTATATGTCACCTGGAAACGGCAGGTAATCTCTCTTTCATGTAAATACAGCTGGTCCTGAGGGTCCAGTCGCAGAACGGTTTGGGCTGGAAGGGACCTTAAAGACCGTCCAGTTCCAACCCCCCTGCCATGGGCAGGGACCCTTCCACTAGACCAGGTTGCTCCAAGCCTCATCCAGCCTGGCCTTGGACACTTCCAGGGATGGGGCATCCACAGCTTCTCTGGGAAACCTGTCCCAGTGCCTCCCCACGCGCATAGTAAAGAATTCCTTCCTGATGTCCCATCTCAATCTCCCTCTTTCAATTTAAACCTGTCACCCCTTGTCTTGTCACTCCCTGCCCTTGGAAAAAGTCCCCCCCAGCTTTCTTGTACACCGCCCCCCTCAGCACTCGAAGGGGCTCTGAGGTCTCCCTGGAGCCTTCCCTTCTCCCGGCTGAACACCCCCAATTCATTAACACTTCCAACCTCATATCAGGGGAAACCCCCCGTGCGCTGGCCACTCGTGGACCTTTGTTCCTTGGGGCTTCCATTGCTCAGTCGCGGGAGTCCGTCATCATTAGGACTGCAGCAGAAACCGGTGACAGACAAACGTGGTATTACCTGCGTTACGCCTCAGCACGAGGCTGCGTTATTCCCACATGTCTTTAATAACCAGTTGACTAATTACAGAAACAGACTGGCAAGGTTAAAATTTAAGCGTATGTTTTAGAAGATACGTATTGATTGAATTCTGGGGTTTCCACCTAATCTAAGTAATTGCTGCTCATATAAAAATAAGAACTAGCTACAGAAGCAGTTTGATTGAAATGAGACAGTGGTTGCTGCTCAGATTGACATGATGAAAATACTACTCGGTGGTTTTTACTTGGAGCTTGAGATTTAAATGCTTGTGCTGCTGGGTAGGAAAGGACAATGAGGAGTGGTAACTCATGTTACTGTGGTGAGACACGTTCATGGACTAAAAAACAGTAATTGAAGAACTGTCTCAGCTTGGCTTTTTAGGGTCAAGTAGAGAAGGCAAGAGAGAAGCCCGACAAATAATGGGGGAGTGGTCAGGGAGGCTATAACAGAATAGTTGATTTTTAAAACAGTGAACAATGTGAAATCTGGAGTGGAACGTAGAACAGCCTAGAAAGGGCTGTGACAAAGCAGCTGTGACATACCGTATATCCTCAAGGAATGCCTTTATTTTCTGCTGCTCGAAGGTCAAAATCAAATAATATCCTTTATCAGGTCTCTGCCTATACTATCCTTGAAGCTGCATACAAGCCTTGGTAAGCAGGCTCCCTTATAGGTCAGGTTTATCTTAAAGCTGTATCTTCTTGTCTGCAGAAGCAAAAAGTCATCATGTGTTTCACCATATTTTGAGTATTTCAGTGAATGGGCTGTGGGATACGGTATCAGAGAGTGGTTTAGGCTGCAAGGGATCTTTAAAGATCATCTAGACCAGCTTCTCTTTTGTTATTTTATATTAATTCTATCTTAATTTTGTTGCTACAGTGGATGAGACATGCTAGAATCGCAATATATTTTAAGGACTTGTGTAAAAAATGGATCTTCTCTGCTTGATTTTTCTCAGTAGTCCTCTCCCAGTGGCTGTTTTCCTACTCTGTCATTTCACCAGGCTGATGAATGATAACCATCTTTTTTCACTGCCTCCCAAACCTTGTGTACTTAAGTGCTCGTGGGAGCAGTGCATTTTCTTAGTTTATTTTTTGTGCAGTGTATTGAATTGTAAATTTGCTGTAAATTTAACTTATAATGAGATACTTGGGTTTTGTTTTGTGCACTCCATTAGTTGTTCTTTATTCCCACCATTATTGGTGGGATTATTATTCTCTTGCTGGTACGATGCTGAAGGAAGTGGTGTTCATTTACTTAGCAATGGAAAACAAATTATTGTAAGCCTGCGTTTACCAGATAGAGAAGTTCTCTGCTCCCAAAATACCTTGGACTTTTCAGGTTGCCTACAAAAGAATGTCTTAAGCCTGGAACAGTTATTGATAATTGGAGAAAAATAATTATTTTTAACATAGTCTGGTTAATTTTGGATATCCATCAGGATGCTTGTTGGAAACACTGCAGTTTTACCGTCATATAGGGAGGAAACACTTCTTTATAGGATAGTGTCTGCAGCTTGGGAGGATTTTTACTGCTACATTTTCTTATTAGGGCTTTGTTGCTAGCAGCACTGACCCTGCAGGCTTCAGACACATCTGGGCACTGAACATTTGCATTTGGTAGTGGATTGCTGAATTGCAAAGTTATGTTCTTTGGTTCTGGTATTTCAGGTCTCATGGATTTCTCCTCTGTGTAAATGAAACTAGGAAAAAAGATAGAAAATTATTTCATTGAAATAATGTGAATGAATTTGGACTGTCATATAATGTGTCTATTCTTTTCATTTTGCAGATTATCTTCCTGGAAAGCATCGCTCTCTGTATGTAAAGAACATCTCGCTGAGTTGCTGCAACTGAGTTTAGAATGTTGCTTGACTTGTGATTCTGATGGAGGAATAACCAGAGGTCAGGCTGCTGCACTGGAAGACTTTACAGGAAATACAAAATGTCATCGAATAGGAGTCAGAACCCGCATGGACTTAAACAGATTGGTCTTGACCAGATATGGGATGACCTAAGAGCTGGAATTCAACAGGTTTACACCAGACAAAGTATGGCAAAATCCAGATACATGGAACTCTACACGTATCCTAATGCCTAAGTCCGTTGGCACTTTCACTGTTAGTAGATTAGAGAAAGCTTTTTGCTTTTCTAAACTCAAATTTCCTTCAGAACTGTTTGATTTAGTGGCTTTTAAGAATGTATTTTTACTCTGAAGATAGCCTTTTCTATTTAGTCTTACTGACAAATAAGTGGGAACATTCTGTTGTCTGAAAAACTGTCTGTGTAGGGATGGCTGCCTCTGAATTCCAGGTTTGACCGCTATTCTCCTTTACAGAGCAGACCTTAGTGATTTTAGTAATAGGTCTAATTTTGAGTCTGCAATACACCAAAAGAAAACAGGAGTTCTTTTTTCTTTATAGGTTAGTGTCTGGCATTCTGCTGCGGGTCTTATTGGTAATGATGTCCACTTACCTGGAAAATCTTTCTTGTGAACCTCAGAGTAGTACTTTGAGTCAGTTTAATGATTTTCCAGCTGGAGTGAGAATGTGCCCAGTGAATTTCTGTTGAATTCCTAGCTTGCATCAGGGAGCTATTGAAATTTTCCAGCATCTCCCCATTCCGGGAGTTGTCACAAGATGCTAAAAGGGGGTTGTGTTCATCCTTGTATGTGTGTGCTGCAATATTCTTTGGAAGGTTGTAGGAGACTTGTGTTAGGCAGTGTGTAAGGACCTTCTATCACGAGTTTGAAGGAGAGGTGTGCCCCTTGCTGTGTTGTAGGTTCAGTGTTGCATGTCAGACTTTGTTTGGCAAGGGACAAAGCCTTCTTGTATGTTCCATAACTTAAAATGACTGATTTCTTGCCATGCTAGGTTCAGTGTTGTTCCTGAATGGAAGTTGCATGTCTGAGAGAAATATGACATGTAATAGAACCTCAGAGAGAGGTTGTGTTTGGGGTTAGGTGTTTTTTTTTTAATTTCTGAATGCCTTTAATATATTCCTGTTTGGGTTCTGTCAAGCAGGGCAGCTGGAGACTAAGTACTTCTTATAATGATGATGTTGAAACACTTGCTTTTTCTCTTCTGGTGTTACCAAATATTCTAGGTAACGAAGCCTTAAAAGGGATTTATTGTCTATGAACTACACATTTCCTTCTTGTTGCTGCTTCAAGGGGTGGTTTTGTCTGAAACTACGGATGGTGGTGTTACTTTCGTAAGTCCATCTAGTGGATAACTTTTGTGCTTGACTTCCGTTTGTGGATTCATCTAATCGTACTTGATGCTGGTTAGGCTAAGCTTTTAATGTTCTGTGAGGAGAACGATGCACTGTGCATCCTATGCCGAGTGCCTGAGTTCAGAAGTTGTGCTTTAAAAATCACTTCCCTCTCAGCTGTAACGCAGTGGCTCAGTCTTTGTGTAAAGCAGGGCTGGTAGATTGATGGACTTTGATAGGCAGAACTTCCCAACATAAAACAGCTTGGTTTGGAAAGCAGAGCAGATGCAGCTCAGTTTTGGCTGCAGTTGTAGCTGGGCTGAAGATCAGGCTGACTTACAAGGGTGCTGGTTGTGACAATAGTTTGGAAATCTTGTGCAGTGGATGGTTTAGTCTCTCCTTATCTTTTATTCCTTTTTTCCCCATTGTTTTTTAATCTTTGGTCAGGATAATCCTCCTGAAGTGGATTCCATTTCATCCCTCTTAATTTCTGAGAGGAGCAGAACCATGCGTACAAGCCAGCCTGCGTCTGGTATCAAATTTTCAGTCCGAATGGATTTGAGATGCGGGGGTCTTGTTCGAGCGTACCTGGGAATTTTTCCTATCAGGTGATCACCAAATGTTTTTCAGTACTGCATGTGCCTTTGTGATTCCTTTTGCCCTGCCAGCTGTGCCGCAGCACCTAACCAGAAGAGCAGCCCTTTATGGGGGTTGATATTTTTATTTACTGCTCCTTACGTGACTATGAAGATCAGTGTACTTTAATTACTTTCTACAATATGTTCTTCGTGTTTCCTGTTGAGAATTGACAACTTCCATATGGAAACAGAATTTCTTTGGAATGCTGCTTGCTGTGGTAGATGACTGGAGTGTTTTGTTGTGTGGTTTGTTTTGGGTTGTTTTCCCCACATGTGCAGGATTCTTGAAAATGAAATCCTTTATCTGGATGCTCTTCGGTCCCTTACCCAGATGATTTTCATAGTACTGAAGAGCCTAGTAGCTCCTGCAGTAGTAACACCCCGAGAGAGGCTGTATTGCCAGCTAGCATACAGTTACATGCCAAGCACTGACTTCCTGCAGAAAAGAGAAATAATAAGATTAACTGGATTTCTAGGCATGGTAGACCTAACAAAGTCAACGTCGGGGCAGTGATGAAGTCACTCCTGGACCTCAGGAGGACAGCAGCAGGTTTTGGTACGCTGCACTGGGGGGGGTGATGCACACTTGGGGTTAAACTCTGCAGCAGAGAGAACGAAAAGATTTTTATTACCTGTTTTGTGTATCTTAGGCAGATTCTCAAACTGGGTACTAGACTGTCAGAAAACTTTCCTGCACTGTATTAAACGAGCATTTTTTCACAGTGGCTTACACAAAAAGCTGAGTAACTTTCTGAAACATTTATTTTCTTCCTCCAAGCACACATCAACTTCTCAGTTTCCACATACAGTGGCTGGATGGAAAGCTTCATGATGGGCTTTCATTTCGTATGTGTGTACTTCTAATTTGAAATGTCAAAATTTTTTTTTTTTGGCATAAACTCATGCTTTCACTGTCTTGATTAACAAAACATAATCTGAGAAGCATTTTTAAGGAACTTTTTTTACACGGTATGGTTAATTTTATGCCCAGTGGGACTGAAGGAACCCTTTTGTCCAGTTTTAATATTTTTAAAAAACTCAGTTGGGAAAAATAAGACAGTTTAAAGATTCCAAGTACCATTAATTTATAACAAATAAGGTTTTTGTCTACGTGAAGATCTCTTCAAATCTTTTCATTGGCAAGAAGAGTATACAGTACTGTGGAAGGTGGGGTTGTTTCAGTAAAAAGTGCATCTGCAATGTCCAGATTTGTTGTCAAAGTCTTTTCTAACGTTGAGTACTTAAAGAATCACTGATTTCAACAGTTCCCATAATACATTTGATGAGTTTGTTTGGCATGATCATCATATAGTTTCTCTTACGTGAGACTTTGAGGTAAAATGGCTGAAGTTACTATGAAAAATTGGTGAAGTCTTAGACCTGTAAATTGGATTTTAAAGATGTGTTTCTTATATTATTGTTTCATTTATTAGCTGCTTTAAGTAGCTAATAACTGTGGCACTATTAGCCACAGTTTAGCTTTCCAAAGTAATTCCTTTAACTATTTTTTTATACAATAATGAAGTGTGACGAAATCACCTAACCCTTACCTAACCTTACTTGAAAATATTTTCCTTGTTTCTGAATTTGCTTATTGCAATTCAGTTTTGTTAACTTTAACAAACTAGCAGTTACTGATTATCCATTGAACCAAAGGTAAGGAATTGTACATCACAAAAGGTTATTGTAATCCGTTTTACAAGCTTCTCCCCTCCCTCAGATACTAGCAAGTGGTAAAGGAGAAGACTGTGTTAAATGGTAATTATGTAAGTGTAGTGTCCTTACGTTTTAAAAATGACGGGTGACTCGGGAGGGTCTGTCCATAACATGGAATGTATAAATCTAACATCTGTTTTTCCTGTGGATAGACTTGGCACCAGTAGCGCCTGTTGCCCAAGCGAAGTCCTTCCCTTGGCATCCATTTCCCAGGGTCTTTTGTAGTCGCTTCTATTGCAGTCCTTGTCCTAGTGCCTTTCCCTTGAACTCCTGTATTTTGGTAGGATTTTACATCAGCAGATGCATATTGAAGCTGTGATAATCCTTTGTTTGGATCACTGTTATTTTCAGATCACAGGAATCTGTTGTTAGGTGGCAGCATGGTATGTTTTGTTGTTGGTTATTTTGGTTTTGGTGTGGCTTGTTGTGGGTTTTTTCCCCCGCCGAACTAATTATTATGCTTTCTCTGTACAGAAAGGATACCAGCATGACAGGGCATCTTGAGATGCTCTCATTGTATGCCATCCCTTCACGTTAAGGTCACTGGCTACATGACCACGAAGGTCATGACCAGGGCCACGAAGATGCGCAGAGGGCTGGAGCACCTCTCCTATGACGAACGGCTGCGAGAGTTGGGCTTGTTCAGCCGGGAGAAGAGGAGGCTCCGAGGAGACCTCATTGCCGCTTTCCAGTAGCTGAAGGGGGCCTACAAGGGTGCTGGGAGAGGACTTTTTACAAGAGCCTGTAGTGATAGGACAAGGGGTAACGGGTACAAATTGAGAACAGGGAGGTTTAGATTAGATATCAGGAAGAAATTCTTCACGGAGAGGGTGGTGAGGCACTGGGACAGGTTGCCCAGAGATGTTGTGGATGCCCCATCCCTGGATGTCTTCAAGGCCAGGCTGGATGTGGCTTTGAGCAGCCTGGTCTAGTGGAAGGTGTCCCTGCCCATGGCAGGGGGGTTGGAACTAGATGATCTTTAAGGTCCCTTCCAACCCAAACCATTCTGTGATTCTATCAAAGCAGCCCCTGCTCACTGCCTGTATTAACCCCACGTACATGCAATATGATAGGGAAGTTGGTGTTTTCCTTGTAACTCGGTGATTCCCTGTGATTCTGCTGAGTTTATGCCCTGAAGAGGGAAACAAGAAGCTGTTAATCTTCAGATGGCTTTTGCTGGAAGTTTCTCTCATCTCTGACTTGCACGAATGCGGCTGAGCTCAGTTATGCCTGGATTTTCCTAGCAGCTCCATGGCTGAGGCTGTAACACCTCCTTCAGTCTGAATCAGTCCTTCCTTGACTAAAATGGGGGTGGTTTAACAGTGCAGTTGGGCAAAGACTTAAATGTCCAGTTGATCTTAGGATAAAGGTCTTGATGCACAAATGGAGAATGTGTGGGGTTGGGGGCAGGGTCTTGATTTTTTGGGGGGTTGTTTTCTTTGAACTTCTTTGTGTGGGGATAACACTTCCTTACTGGATGATGAACTGAACTGCTTAAATAGGCCCCTGCTGCTACCTCCCTGAAAAGAGTGGAGATGTCTGGCTTTTCTGTTTCAATGCTGCTCCTCACAAAGCTGAAGTTGGGTTTTCAAAGCACTTGCTCTGAAAAGTGGTTGGGTTTTGGCAGCCTCATCGTTTCCAAAAACTCGCGTAAAATTCTTTCCTCCATTTGGCTTACGAAGCGTGAATGTCACGCTGGCACGTCCACTTCTCTTTGCCACTTCACTTACGCGTGAGGTGGCTTTGTGAGGTTTGCACAGTCTGATCTTCTGGACACACGGCAGTTGGGGTGGCTTTAATCATTCTGTGGTAAATGTGTAAAGCTGTTCCGTAGTACATATGGTATCGTAAGCTGTATTGCTTGCTTTCCCCTTCTGTGCTGAATTACAGAACTGATGCTTGTCTCGCGTAATTTCTGTTTGCACTTCCTCCTGGAGGAAAAAACATGGTGCATGGAGTAAACTGGTACTTTTCCGGGGTGGAGGGTAGATTAGGCGTGACTGTAGCACACTCAGGCTTGAGTTTCGATGGCGTACTTGCCCAAAAAGTGTAATATTTGCTGCTATGGAAAGGGTCAGCTTCACTTCTCCTGCACGGACACGTAAGTTCAGATCTGCTCAGCAAAGGATCTGGGAACAGGGACAAGGGCTGGTTGTGGTGGCAGTCACTTCCCCAGTGCACATCACTGGTTGTCGGCATGAACTCCGGTGCTGTGTGAAAAGCAGGTGGGAAGTAAGCCCTGCAGGTGGGTTGTGTGTCAGGATGACTTCCTTTGGTGGGAATGAGCTCCTACACGGCCATGGACTCATTATGGTGCGGCAGCATGGGATGTCTTTTTCCCTTTGCATTGCCTAGTTTTAGAAACTGAGTAAGGCTTGTCAAAAATGTAAATTGTATTGAAAACAAAGGTGGTCAAATTCATTTGTCTTTTGGCTGCTTTTTGTATCCCATCTTGAAGAGCTTTTAGGGAAGAATACAGTTCTGAAAGTTTTTTTCATCTTAAATGGCACAAAGCTGAACCCATTTATAAGATTCCTTGCAGTCTTCTACCTCAAATATTAGTTTAGATAATTAAATCTAAATGGTGGGGAGGCACTGGCACAGGTTGCCCAGAGAAGCTGTGGATGTCCCATCCCTGGAAGTGTCCAAGGCCAGGCTGGATGAGGCTTGGAGCAACCTGGTCTAGTGGAAGGTGTCCCTGCCCATGGCAGGGGGTGGCACTGGGTGGGCTCTAGGGTACCTTCCAACCCAAACCATTCTGTGAGTCTATGAATGTCACTTCTCCGCTGTAAGGAAGGTGTAGAAGTTAGAGGAGATTGAATGTGATCTGTTCCTCCTGTAGATGGTGTGTCCATTTGCTGGGCCAAATCTGAAGTTCAGCAGCTTGGGGAGCAGCACAGCTTCACTTCGGTGCAAACTATTCTATTGATGAATTAAATTTTCTGCTTGTTCTAGTATTTGAATTGTGCAAACGCCCACAAAAACGTTTCCTAACAGCCGTTTGGATGTGTGTACGGCTTCCAACATACGAATCAGTTGAGGGGATTAGTTTGCCTTCTGCGACTAAGAATTCTTTCTTAGCGTTCTCCTTGTGATGCTCAGATGGACTGCGACGTACTTCGTTGTAAGCAGCACAAGCCTGATTGTTTTGAATATGCCAGTCTCTGTCAGTGGTTGGCTTTAGCAGATGGGGACACAGATTGTAAACAAAGTTTGAGAGAGCGTTCTTCTCCATGTAATATGTCAAAAGAGTTGTTTTACACTTGCAGACTGCCTTCTGCACAGGCAAACGAACTTGGTTAGACTGGCATAGAACAACTACATGTACTTCAAAAAGGCTGTCCTGGACAGTTTGGCTAGCAAGACTCAAGCCAGAATAACAAGTAAAGATGGGCATTGCTGGTATATTTTTACTCCAGCTCTGAGCTGATTAGTGTCAGGCATGTACAGGTCTCAGTCTGTCTTAGTGTTTACTTTACAAGGAATCCTAGATTTAATAGTAAAATATATGGAGTTAGGAAAAGGCTTGTGTCTTCTAACCTAGGTCTTTTATTTGTCTGAAGCCTGTTATGATTATTCTGGGACAACAGAATATTTTCATCAGGCAGTATTCACAAAAACGGCAAGAACCACCAAGGTTGTCCAGATGATGGGCATTTTCAGGCTTGCCCAAAGCCACATGGCATAGGAGAGTTAGAGGAAAAGGAGGCAAAAGTGCCAACTGGGTATTCGTGAATCAGCCCTGGATTCCTTGTATTGTCATGGAGACACTTCCCATACACAATACCCAGGGCCTTATCTTAAACTGTGAGGTAAGCTCTGCTCTTCTCACAGGAAAGTGAGAAAAGCAGGAAACTGTGCTGTGTGACGACGTTCCTTGCTGGAAGTGGGAATTCTGAAGCTGAAGCGTAGAGGGTAAAATCAGCAACGGTGCCTGGAAAGTTGAACAAAGAAATAATAATTAGGAGCTGGCAGAAGTCAGTGTCCAGGAAATAAGTGGCTGATAGAGATAAGAGACTGATAAGGGGTTCAGTTGCAAAGCACAAATGAAGGTTTTATATTATGGGTTGGAGGCATGGGAAATCTAATTATTTGGTACCCGTATGAGGTGACAGGTAAGAAATTAATGATGTTTTCAGAAAGGGTTGATCTTAGGCAAAGAGCATTACTCTTTAGACAGAATGCAATGACTTTCTGAACAAGTACATGAGTACAGACCGTGAGCAGGCTTTCCTCTTGTTACACAGACCGTGAGCCTTGTGTCTGATGGCATGCAGGATCTGCTCTGATCCTTAAACCCAGTTTAAGGGTATGATTTCTGTGAAGTGCCTTTTTTTTTTTTTTAAAAGAAATTGCAGAGGACTTAACTGGGACTTTCCTGCATGGGCTTTACTGTTTAAATACTAGAAGCAAGTCTGTTCATAATGACTGTAATGTCTCATATACTTGGGGTTTATAATTCCCTTGGTATTTAATCGTGCTGATGTCTTCCGTTCTATCGTGCTGGTCTTTCTGAAGGGAAAGATAAAAGGCAAATTTCAGCAGTGTGTAATGTGGCATACTGTGGAGGAAGCCTGACTAGTGCTTAAAGCTGGTCCCCTTGGTTAAAACACAAGTTAAAACCACATTAGACTTTCTGGATTGCTTCGTGTGATGTTCTCTGACAAGGGATGTGACTCAAACCCCTGCCCTCGGACTGGCAGTAGAAGCAGGTATGCTCAGTAGCTTTGTTCCTGTTGGCTTATTGTTAATTGGGTGAGTCATTAGGGTAATTCTTATTGTCAGATTTGAGTCCTTATGTTGAATTTGAGTGCTACCAAGCTAGCTTATTTTTCTTGTTTGCGGAGTGGAGTTTCTTTCAGGATGCCTTATTTGCAGTGTTTTGAACAGCTTCCACTTCAAACTGTGAAAGAATTCTGAGTATTTGAATGTTTTAGGTCTGAAAACAGAACACTTTCTTGAAATGTTCTATTAACAGGTACAGCAAGTATTCCAGGTTGTATTAGTATGAGGGAAAGAATTATTGCTATCACACACTTGAAATACGTGTAGCCTAAAATTGAGTTTTGGTGAATCTGATCATGAAGTTCTCTTATGGTGTGTCTCATCATTTCTGCCTTCTAGATGTGTCCCCTGTCTGCCAGTGGTAAGTGGCCAACTCTTTTATAATGGATGCAAAAATATTATCCTCTGTGTTTTCAAGTTCTGAATGTTGCTTGAGGCTAGTGTTGAAATTAATCCCTGTTCAAATGAAAGCTTATGTGTTTGTAGAAGGCCAATACAATACATCAAATAATAAATTCCATTTAAACCTTCAGAATAACTTTATCTGCAAATTCCACTGCTTTGTTTTCTTGGTGGCCTTGTTAGGTAAAATTAATGTTGGCGGCAGTATTTGCAGTGTACTCGGCAATCTGACGCATTTCTGCTGCAGATAATTCTGCTGAAAATTACTTTGTTTTCTTGGCCCGGGTTTTATTTTATGTGGCCTAATGCATCTTTAATGTGTTATGGTTAAATAATTTATGGTCATAAAAATAGCTCATTGAAATTAATGTTGTTTTTCATTGTATTTCTATGTCTCGTGCTGGCACGTGCGTATTCCTTAACTTTCCTGTCAGTCATGTTTATAACTACTGCACCAGTGTACACCAGTCTAATCAAGCACGGGGAGCTGGAGTACCTCCTTCTAAATCAAAAAAGGGTCAGACGCCTGGAGGTGCTCAGTTCGTTGGCTTGGAACTGTACAAGCGGCTAAAAGAATTTCTGAAGAACTATTTGACAAATCTCCTGAAGGTAAGGGGGGACGTCTGATCAAGCCGCATCCGTAGCAGCGATACAGGCCGGGTGGAGAAAAGCTTGTAGCAACAAACCTCAAGCTGTATGCAGCCACTGGAAATAAATGGAATGATCTTGAAACTGACTTTTGTCTCCATTAGCAGGCTTTGTAGGCTTTTCCTCAGGTGTACATCCATCAGGAGGGGCAGGAGTGTCTTCTGGAGCTTTGTCTACGCTGTGTATTTTTTATTTTACAGGTGTTCTAAATCTGACACTGGCCTTGTGCTTTACTAGTGCAGCAGTAAACTAAATAGCACTGTTTCCTATAAATACATTGCAGGGTGTAGATTTACTGCACAGTCCATTTCTGCACCCTTAGATAGCTTGGTTGTACCTTAAAATTACCCAACAGTACTGTCAAACTTTTGTTGTTTCAGGATGGTGAGGACTTGATGGATGAGAGTGTGCTGAAATTCTACACTCAGCAGTGGGAAGATTACAGGTTTTCAAGCAAAGTATTGAATGGGATATGTGCCTACCTCAATCGACATTGGGTTCGTCGTGAGTGTGACGAAGGTCGTAAAGGAATATATGAAATCTATTCGGTAAGTAGCTTTTTGAAGTGATCCATCCATTCCATCTGTCCTGCAGATCACTCCGTGAAACTTCTGTGTAGTTCATGCAAGTTTTGAAGAAGTGGGCACAATGGAAATCTCCCCCCTTTCTATACTCCCACCCCAGTATATTTGTAAAAATTCCATGGCTCTAAAGCTGTGGGATGTTCAATCTGCCTTGTACTTACTGGGACTAGGATACTGTTATCCATGTGCAGCAGCGTGGCCGTGTCATTCCACTTACAATTTAGTGAAGTGTTTCGAATCTAGAATGGAGAAGTAAATTGCATTTTTTCCCTGTTGACTTCAGTACATCTTTGCAATTATTTTAGCATCCAAGCTGCTGAGATTCCATCAATGTTTGGTTTGTAATACAAGTTATTTTGGTACAGTTCTGAAAGATTGATATGTGATCTTGGTAATTTTTTTATAAAGTAATATAAACAAGGGAGAAACATAGCAGTTCGGTATCTCAGCTAACTGTGAAAGTACATTCTTTCCTTTTTTTTAAATAAAGGGTGATTACTGGCCTTGCTGGTGAAGCACTAGGAAAGTGATACGTTATTTTACTGCTTCACTAAAATAACTTTGCTTACGGTAGAAAACTGGGTGGTATCCTTACTTCCCTCCCTATTAACTTCACTAGCCTAATGCGGCCTGAAAATTACCAACAAAAAAAGCTGCATGTTGCCGAGTAACTTGCAGGGTTTGTTAGTTTTTGGAGTTGGCTGTCAGGAGAAGGGATGCCTTAGAGTTATTAACAGAGCAAACGGCAATTTTATTGGGAAACAACCTCCTTGTATGAAAAACGTGTGTGCCAGAATATCATTTAAAGAGTTACAATTCTTTACCATGCTATATCAGCTTTCTTTAAAGATTTGTCTTGAATAGATATGTGTGTATACATAAATATTTTCTTTATTCCATCTTTCATCTCCCTTCCTTTGCTTCTAGCTTGCCTTGGTGACCTGGAGAGACTGCTTATTCAGGCCATTAAATAAGCAGGTATATATGTAGCCAGTGTCATTTTATAGGGTTAATTTAATACCTTGTTAGTAACTGTTCCAAGGAGAATTTGGAGGGGTGGAGGGTTGTGTGTGTGGTTGAACCTTGATAGCAAGAGCGTTCTATTATCTCTTTGAGAGGAGCTGTGGCTTTTTTATTCCCTCTTGGGCTAAAGGTGTAGTCTTAAATGAAGTAACAACCAGCCATTTCCAAGCCAGGCAGGAACACAGGCTGACGACGGTCATAACTTAAGGTTTGAGAGTCAGGATTGTGTGAGAACAGAGAGTGACAGGCCTGGGATTTTAGTCTCTTCTAGTGTTACCTGAATCTGTAAATTTACACTGATGCCTGGGAGATTCAGGCCAACCAAATATTTTTAATTAGTGAATCAGCACAATCTAAAACAAGACATTCCATCACCACAAAATATTATATTGATGTGTGTTAATTTCACTCTTTCTTACTAGTATTTTGTGATGAAAAGACTATATTAAATTACAAAAATACACGAGCTAGATATCTATTTAGAGGAACAGTACTTGCAACACCTTATTTATCAGCAGAAGCTGACAGCTTGCATTGTGTAAAGTACAGGTGGTGAGTTCAGCTCTTAATGCAAAGTTCTCTTGTATTTGAGGTATAAAGCAAACAGAAGTTTGGTTTAGAAGGTGCTTTTTGAAATGTAAAAAAAAAAAAAACCAACCCAAAACAAACAAAAGAAAACCCCACCAAGCACTGTCATGCTTTTTTGTAGCTCACCACTGCTTGGACTGCAACTACATTTTGCAGCTTAAAGGTGTAGCATACTCTGTATGATTTCATATATGCAAGTGTCCTGAAATTTTGTTCTGTAGGGGGTTGACTTGTCTGAATATAGACTATATTTCTATATTGACTGAACACAGAAATACACTCCTGATCAAATGTGATGCTTGACCTACCAACTGCTTTCTCTGTGCTTGACTTGCTTTTAATCCCTGTTTCCGAAGGTAACAAATGCTGTGTTGAAATTGATTGAAAAGGAAAGGAATGGTGAAACTATCAATACAAGGCTGATCAGTGGAGTTGTACAATCTTATGGTAAATGAGATTTAAGGTTTTATTACTCTTTTAAAAATAAGTCAATGTATTTGCTCTGTCAGAGCCCAGAAGTAGCATCCCACCTCCTTGGAAAGATTCTTACAGTAAAATAAATGCAGTTATAAACTGTTTAACTTCATGCTTGTAGAGACATTTGACAGAATTTCAGTTGATGAAACCATCTATGTAAAGCCTGAAAGCACAACTGATAGACAGGAGCATTCAGTGTTTAGCAATCGGTTATTTAGGAGCTAACCCTGTAAGGGGGGAAAGCATAGCAGTTCACAAAGTGGGAGTGGCATTGTTTTTTCCCATTTGTATGAAATTGAGAGAGTTGCCATGCAGATTAATGGCCGGTTTCATTAACAAAAACCACATTTATGCATGTAATATGGAACTGAGGAAAAAAAAAAAATAGAAGTGAAATTTGACCTGGCTTTTGAGATAGGATTTGGAAAACTGCACTATCATCCATTTAATAACGTATCAAAAAGTGCAGTTTACTTGAGTAATGTCTTGTGCTGCTTATTTTTAAATGCAAAATAAATGTATACTGTTAAAAAGTGGGGCTGATACTGTCCCGATAGATTACCTTCATGTGAATTAGAAGGAGGGTACCTGTTTGTTTGCAAGAAACCACTTCATAAAAGACGATTTTGTCATTACTTGCTTTTTTTATTTTGTAGTGGAGCTGGGGCTGAACGAAGATGATGCCTTTGCAAAAGGACCTACACTAACTGTCTATAAGGAATCGTTCGAATCTCAGTTTCTTGCTGACACTGAGAGATTTTATACACGAGAAAGTACTGAATTCTTGCAGCAAAACCCAGTCACAGAGTACATGAAGAAGGTAAGTTATTTAATAAGCTTTGTGATTATTTTCAGAATGGAATGTTAAACTAAATTCAGATTTTGTTAGGATTGGAGGCACGAAAACAGTCGTTTTGCATTAGATCTACAAGTTTACTCTTTCTATACAAGGAGCTGTGTGTTGGCACATCTACTGAAATCTCTTCCTGAGCAAGCTGGCCAAGGAAGTAGATCAGTAATTAGCTTTAATTCTCTCAGAATATTTTAATGTCATGAACCCTACACAGTGCTTCTGATCAACAGAGGCCAGATTTAAATTCTTGGATAGTCTCTGGTGTGGGGGATCCCAGACAGGGCAAATGAGAACAAGCTGGATGAACACTGACTATTTCTAGACTAGTTACTGGGTCAGTGTTACTGAATGTGAAATAGATAGCTTGTCTTCCATCTTAGTCAAGTGCTGCTTTATGTATTTTTCTCAGCATGTTTCCTCACTTCTTGAATTGCTGCTTGGTTTTCCCCTTTCAGTATAAGAAAACAAGAGAGAGCCTTTTTGAGTGTGGAGTATGTGGGTACACATCCCTCCTTGCGCTATCTGTCTGTCTTTCACGTAACTTTTTGCCACAGAACACCTCCTCTCTGCATTTTTGGAATTAAAGTGAATGATTTACCCAAAAAAACCTGTGGGAGGTGTGGATGTAAGTCCTAGAAATAACACAGTGAAACAAATACTGCTTTTAGTGCTTTGGGATAGTTTCCCAGGAGTTCCTGGACTTACCTACGTTTACTTTTGTCGCTGGATTCGTGATTTTTGCTGCTTCCTTTTCAATTTCTTGTCTTTACTTTCATCCTAGATTATATAAAGAACAGAGTAAGGGAATTTCAGTCACTCATAACCTGAATGACTGGCTTATCCAGGCTTCCTTGGTACAGGGCTGTAAGAAGCTGTCTGAAGGTCATTGCTATTTCAAGAACTAGAGATTAGTGGCAAGTACAAAGAACTTACTTAGGACCCCAAACAATATTCAAGACTTCAGAAGTCTGCAGGAGAGCAGCTCGATTTGCATGAAGCTGATGTTGAAGCTGGAAACACGTATAAACTTAGAAGGCAGGGGAAGAAATCCTCAATCCTCAGTAAGGAGGAGTGCGGCCTTAAGTCTCTGCTCAAATTCATGGACTAGAGGTGTATACAAGCTGTTGGGGCTTTCTTGTTATCCCCTTACAGATCATGTGCATAGACTGAAATAAAACTCAACAAGAAACTGTTTTCAGTACTCATCTCCTGGGATTTGACTGATGGAACTGAAAAAAGATTTACTGTAGCATCTAGTACACATATGATCAGAGCTTCCAAAGTGATACAGACTAACGGAAATGACCCAAGGGAAAGGGGTAACTTAAAAGCTGAAGCTAAAAGCTAGTTCACTGGAACAGACTGTCAGATTTCTCCAGCATGCATGCTCTCTGCAGAGATCAAGAGAGGTCATGCAAGTTTGCAGAAGTATTAATTTAAAATTCAGACAGGTTTGTCCTTCAGTTTTATTATGCCTGTGAGCTTCTTAGGGCGGGTTTTATTTTTTGTGGGGTTTGGCTGTTGTAATCTTGCGTGCCACAGATGCCTGGAACAGAGTAACACTCCCTGTAGTTATCACTCAGGTACTGCTGGGATTGGGGTCCTTTTCTGTTACGAAACATCTACAGCGAGACTGACGTGAGAAGCTAATGCACCCCGGCATAACATCAGTGTCCCTGTGATGCCGCAGAATTCTGGTTCTTTGTTGTAGAATACTCAGGGAAGTCCTAATTAGAATTAGGAAACATGTATATAGGTATACAGACGGGCTTCCTGAGTTTAGAAGGGTTGTGAATTTTGGTTCTCAGGCCAGAACTACGTGACTGAAGCTGGCGTGGCTTGATACGCTGTAGGGGAAAAGACTGTCCCTTGAAATAGTCTCAGACTGAACTTCCTGTCTTTATAGGTAAAACAGCCAAAGATACTCCTATGTGAACTAATTATTTTCCCTTTTTTGAGTTTTAAAAGGAAAACAGTCACACACAGTAAGCAAATTGGAAGTCAGAGTGAATGTTTATTTTCCTAAAGGAGCTCAGAGTGATTTGAGTGCTAACACTGCAGGTGAAGGTCTAAGGGTATTCTAAGCAGCAGCATTAGAAGTGGCAGATTTCCACAAACTACAGGAATAAATAGCTGGTGAAATGGAAGCTAAGTAGTCCTACAGGTCTGATTCCAGTTTGCAGCCTTAGTCAAAAGGATTTGCTGTCATTAAGGAAGTTGATTGTTATGCTTTACCTTTTCTTGCTTAGTCAATAGTCTGAAATACTAGGAAAATGCATTCATTTAATTTCCTTCACTTGGTGACATCATTAATTGAAATAATTTGGACTGATTAGTGCCTGGGCATAGGCACTTTAGCCCTGATGTGCTGCAGTGACAGGTGGCTTGTAAAGCGAATCTTTAACACTTTTTCAAACAAAATAAGGTGATTGTTATATAAACAACGTCAGTTTTACATTCTGGCGTACGTACTGTTCCTCGAGTGACACGTAGAATTTTGGTTTGTCAGGAAGAGCTGCATATGTAGCATTTCACATGCCAAATCAAATGCAGGTGTCATTTCCATGATTCTAAATTATTGAGCAGCTTTTCTGTGCAAGAATGTAGATGAGAACATTCAAGTAAATTTGTTGTGGGCATGCTGTTAAATTGGAGTTTTCTGCCTTTTAGTTTTGTGGAGGCATGAAATACATTCATGTTTGTCTTGAAACTATGGCTGTAGCTGGAGAGCTTGCTGATGCTAAAACTGCCAGCATCTCACGTCAGCAGCCTTCTTTTCAGACAGCAGATTTCCATCTGTAAACTCCTTTAGGAGCAATGGGAAAATAATCTTGCTGTGATTCTTACCCCCCATTTAAACACAATATAATATTATCATCAACATAAACGATTCCACGTGTGTCTGGGGAGGGGGTCACACTACGATTCCTGGAAAAAGAACTGCCTAAGTAGGTGGGACCATAACACCATGTTAGTGTAAGGTTTGATTATTGTTTTGCTGCTGTTCTTGTGGATGAATTTACTAAACAGCCGTGTGTTTTCTGCTGTTGGGTTTCTGATGTGTCTTTCACACGGGTTTCCTGTTTATCTCTCCCCTCTGTAGGCTGAAGCTCGCCTGCTTGAGGAACAGCGTAGAGTTCAGGTGTATCTCCACGAGAGCACGCAAGATGAGTTGGCACGAAAATGTGAGCAAGTACTTATTGAAAAACACCTGGAGATATTTCATACGGAGTTTCAGAATTTGTTGGATGCTGACAAAAACGAAGGTAAGGAGGCTCAAACATTGGCTTTAGGCTGAGCTCTTCCCTGGTGATTTGTGAATGGTGTAAACTCTGGGATGGCTAAATGGGATTTGTTCAGGAGTTAGATTAAGAGAGAACATAGACCCTGAACTGATTGACAAGCATCTTTGGATTAAATTGGGATGGCTGGCGATACTGCCTCAGGAAGCCTCTCCCAGACGTTAAGGCAAAACAGCACTACTTTAGATTTCTCTTAACATGGCTGGAAGAGCTTCAAGGACGCTTCAGCCATCCTTCCAGCAGGAGCTGAAGCTTTCATGAGAGGTGTGAGAAAGAGGGATCACTAGACTTCCCAGCTGTTGCAGTTTAATCCACGGAACTTTGAGTCCGGAGTGAGAATTCCAAAATGCAAGTTGTCTGGAAGTATGTATAGGAAATGTTAAAAGGGAAATAGAAGCAAATAAGGAGCTTCTAAAATAATATATAAAAGTGCATATAGAGCACCAGGAAAAGGTGGAAATTATTACTGATGAGAATTTGAGCTGTGAATATGAGTCTGAAGTGCCACTAGTGGGTCAAATTTATACCCTCATAGAGAACACACAGAATAAATACTTGTTTGCGGTTTCTCTAAAATAAGTAAAACTGTCAAGATTGTAGGTGTCTTTAAGGAATTGTCAGTTGTATTGGGTTTTGAGTTTCTTCAGGAGATAATGCTGAGCACAAAACAGTCAAAACCAGGGCCAAGTGATGCCTGTGCACCCTGCAGTTGATAATGGTGAATGATGTTTCTGGGTAATTGCATCTCTAGGTAGTCAAGGTAAGGCTCCATAGCTGAAACACTGCTCTCAAAGTGACAGGATTGAAGAGATACTGTGAGTAAGTTACTACTGATGATACTGTTCATTTGAGAGTTGGGAATTGCAACTGTGACTCTTGATATATCAACCTTAAAAGAGCAACTATGAATAATTACTGAACAGAAAAGGGCAGTTCAGCATGGTTGGTAGGTCAGAACTGGCCTGTTTCACATGTAAATGGAACATTTTTTATTCCGTACTAGTATTTAAGAGTCAGATGTTTGTAAATAAATGCATTTACTCGGAAGAGATTGTGATGGGGTGGGTGTTGACTAGTAGAATGGCTGTAAATGTCTTCTGACAAAAGAAACAGTAATACCACAAACAAGAATGTTTTTCTGGACTCTGGAGGCCTCCCAGGCCTTTTTCCTTTTTCCTCTTACTTTATCCAGCTCCATGGGTTTTGTGAGCCTTAAATACGGTCACTTACCATGCAGATACGATTCCCTGAATTAGTCAAGTAAGAAAGCAGGATTCTTACATTGCTGTCAGAGTTTAACAACATGTTGCAAATGTGGTTTTCGGAGAGGAAAGAACCCAAACGTTTGCTTTTCAAATCCGGAAGCTTAAACCTGAAGTTCTAAGGAGTGGAAAGCATTGTACAGAATTGGGTCACAATAGAGGTGTCATCGCTTTGGTATTAAAGGCATCAAGTTCTGTGTGTTCTAGTTCAGAGTTAGGTAGTGATAACAGCTGCTTGGCTGCTCTGTTTTATTTAAAGTAATAATCCTCGGGTGGTAATAAATGGATCATAAGTCCCTCAGAGATCCCTGCACTTTAGAAGTGCCAGAGGCAGCTGAACGCCTAAAGGTGGATTCAACAAGGTGCAATATTGCCATTAGTTTACAGTAACTAATTTGGTGGTTTACTTTTTCACTGGGGTGCCTGTTCAGTCAGGGTGAGATTACAGGAGGTAACTAATGGGTTTGTGTCCATGGCTTATGGCTATATTAATGTTTGGGGCTGTTTTTCGAGGAGGAGGAGGAAAAAAGGAGTTCTGCACTCAAAAAGCGTTTGCCCTGTTGAAAATTAATAAACCCCAAACCCCAAAATACTAGACTTTCCACAATTATGAACAGATTTTTGGAAAGTCTTGGCTGAAAACTGCTATGATCTCAAGATGAGAATGTTGTGCTCTCAGCACATCCAGCAGTAATGGTGATGACTGTCCTCATTCACGCTAACGCTTCAAAGCTTCACCTAGCTAAGAGGGGTTTAACTCCATCTTTAAATCATTGCACCTCTTTAGTTTCATGAAAACTAGAAATCAGAAGTAAATCTATTTCTGTAAGTTAAATGTGTGGGGTTTTCTTCTTCAGATTTATGTAGCAGATCCTAATATTTAACAGGTGGTTTTCTGTTTAACTAGTTTTAGCTTTCCAGGTCGGTGCAAAGATTTGCTGTACTGTGTAACTTCTTGCTGTAGTTTCTTCTGGCTCTTTACAGGAGCAGTTGCACGTATCTTTTTGTCGATGCTGGATGTTTTAACTCCTACTGGCAACTTTTACGTGACAAATTGGAATCATAGCTAGTACAGATGGGAGATGTTTGCTTTCCTTTTTTTTTTTCCAGACTTGGGACGCATGTATAACCTTGTATCTCGAATCCAGGATGGCCTTGGAGAGCTGAAAAAACTTTTGGAAACCCACATTCATAATCAGGGTCTAGCTGCAATTGAGAAGTGTGGAGAAGCTGCTCTAAATGCAAGTATCCCATCAAAATAAGTCTCCATGTGGTTGCTGCCAGTTTGATGTTAGAGGAGGGTGAATGCTTCCTGATGTAATTTCACTTATGCTTTCTCTCTCACTGATCTGATTTCGGACGATTAGGCAGCTCTCAGATGTTGAGGGTAGGCTTAAAACAACAGTCACACCACTGTGTGTACTACTGTGAGCTTTGGGGGTTTTTGGTTTCTGAGGGGCTGGGGTGTGGTTTCTTCTGTGTTTCTGCTCTGTCAGAATGTCGTGATGCTTGGAAAGCTGGATGCAAATACAGCATCCTGCACTCACACCTCAGTCCGCTGTTTCAAGAAGCTGCCTCCAGTAAGAGGAAGAGACAACTGAAGTGATTGGAGGGAGAGAACAGGTCTCCTGCAACCCTCTGGTCATCTAGCCATATAATTGGCTTGCTTCATTTTATCCCATTGATGTAATTATAGACTTAATGTTGCATTGATTGAATTCTCAGCAACGTGATGTTTTTTAAACCCTTTTTGGATAGAGACAATACGATGTTTTTTAGGGAAAAAAACCACCAAAAAAAAAAAACACGCACAAAGCAAAACTAGGCTAGAATACAGATTTTGGTAAACTATTTACTACAGGGCTTAACTTTGATTTTTGGCAGGGCCCGTTTTAACCAGTTACTGGTCTCGGGTATTACTGACACAGCTTCATACTAGTAATCATGAAAGCAGTAATCTATGGTGACTGCATGGAGAACAGTGAAAACTTCAAGTGTTAGCACAGGGGAAGATGTTTTATGTTTGTGTAGTGTTTGTTGCACACTTCTGTAGTTCCAAGTGTGTGGCTTTTTTAGCAATGTTGATCTTTTCCACCAAGTCATGAAGTGAGTTCAGGAATCTCCAGCTTCATTGGCAGACATCACCTTAAATTCTGAAATGAGATGGGCTCTGTGGCTGCCACATACCCCTAGTGGTCATCACTCTTGAGTTTCTTTGTACTTAGACCTTGAAGAATTTCCCAGGAAAATGAAAGCTCTTTCTCCAGGAATTAGGTCATCTTTCAGAGAGAGGAAGCCTGAGATTTGTATATATTAGTTCTTGTGACTCCAGTCACTTACCAGAACTGTCGCGACCAGGAAGATTTTTGTTTCTTCACCTTTCTCTTTTGTTTCTTTTCCTTTTATACAATCACAGAATGGTTTGGG